TGGCTCCTCCTTACTTACGATCTAATAAACTTTACATTTGTTTGGTTTTGTTTTTTTTTTTTTTTGGTCCTCATTCAGTCTGCTGCCTGATATTGCCCAGTCTGAGCACTATTTTTTCATACCAAGCTCCTCGAATCTAGCATTTTTTTATGAGAAGTCCTCATCTGCTGTCGGCCAACTTCCAACCATTGTTGACTTCTCTTTAAAGCCCCAGCTCTATTCTAGTGGCTTTTCGACTCTGACGCTCGGTCTTCACTCATTTCATTTTCGGACATTTACTTAGTCTATAGCGTTGCCAGTTGCCTTTTCAGTGTCTGCTTTCAGTTTTTCCAGTTTCCCTGCCGTTTTCTCAGGACTTTGACATCTTAAAGTTTATCAAATAGTGGCCACAACTTTTGCAAGCTTTTTGTGTTTTGTATATTTTCTGCGGTCATTCTTTGTGGTTTCTTCTTTTCATTTCCATGGATATATGTTTATATTTATTTATGCAGATCTCTGTTTTTCCATAAACTTTTGTTTGCTTTTGTGGTTGGAATTCATAACAGGGTTAGTCGAGTAGTTTTATTTTTCACCAGCATTTTCTGCGAAGCAATTAAAAAGTATTATTTCTGCGTATAACAGGGCGTATGCGTAATTTCCAGCAGCTCAAAAAAAATTTTAATTAGAGTGAATTTTACTGTAGAATATTTCTTCTTCAGCCTGACCCAGAGAGAACCAACTGCATTTTAGGAATATTTATCCACGGCCACAAGGACAAGGACAAGTTCATTAAATTCTGGTATTAGCACCCGGGGGAGCTTTGCTTTAATTAATTTTCCCCGACTGTATAGCATGTCAGGTATTTGAATTACACTGCACGTGTATGAGTTTAACCATGCTGGCCCCTAATCAGCGTATAATCTTTATGGAGAGTGACGCACATCCCGCAATGCCGCATTGGCCGCATTCGCCGGATTCCCAGATTGGCGCATCCATGGGGCAATCAAACGCCCACCGGAATGGCCACCGATGCTTTAGTGGAGCATAAATCACACACAAAACTATTCCCTATTCCCGCCTGCCGGACACTTACACGGAACGCTTATCGTGGTTTTGGCGGCTGATTGCCACTGCCATTGCCACCGCCGACTGCCTGTCTATTTGCTGCCCTTCAATTTTATTCAATAAGTTCCGTTTATGACTCGGCCACGCTCTCGCTCTTCCATATATCTATCTAACTATCTATCTATATGTATATATATAGAAATATATATCCCCCTGGCTATTGTAACTAATATCGAACATGCCTTTTAATTGAATTTCACGCGCTCCCCATAAAGCTACAGCGTGTCCAGCTCTCAACTTTATGGCTGCTGGATATTTATATCTCTCTGTATATATAGACTGGGTCCTCCTTTAATTGCCTTCGCTTCTTGTTATGGCAAACCGTAAAATCCGGCTCTGTTATTGCAGTGTTCCTAGTTTATAATAATAATAATAATAACAGTAATAATGGGCAGTGACATCAGTGCGTATACGTTATGCGGCCAAAGCTTGTAAAATTAATCGAATAATGTATTATACGGAATTGTTCATTAGCTTTTCATGTCCACCACATTTCGGTGCAAATATTAAAAGGGCAAACCTATATTTTGGCTTTTTAATTACCACCTGATAATTATGGTTATCAATTTTTGTTTTTGCGCAACAGGAGAGGTTTCCTTATCGAAATTCGATGACGTATAAATGTTGATATCGATAAGCAGGGCGTGAAAGCGTTGTCGTCAGCTTGTCTTACCGACATTCTTTGAATAATATATATCTTGCGGTGGTTAGGGAGGCATTTTTGGTATCTGTTTTGGCCAATTTAAATGGCAATATAAATCATAGTTTAATCTGTATTATATATATAAAGACATTGTGGGGGAAAGCCTTTAGAGATAAAAAGAAAATGTAATCTGCCGCTACTAAGTTTGGTTATAATATAGATAGGTCTTCGAATAATTTATTATATTTATAATCTTAAATGTATTTTTACATTCTGATAACACGTTAGTCCTATATTTATCCCCTAGATTTCCCCTCTCGCTTTAAATATACAACGGATTTCCACTTCCTGCCAGCATATTAACTTCTCAAGTTTCTAGCTATTTTGGTATTTATAAGCCTTTCATTAAGAAATCCCCTGTGATTTGATGAAGCCACTCTATTCGCTGCTGATTAGATGGCATTCTGATAATCATGTTATCAAATTTCCTGGTCATTTTATTTGTTTATGATGGCTAATAGTTAATTAGTCACTTTTGGCCATGCGCAAGAAATTCTTTAGCTTGACAGTGGTAAACAAGTGGGTGTTGTAAATTAAATTATACCTAATAAGCCAGGTGATTTTTCTTCAGGAGAGCTGACTCAAGTGCAAGGCAAGGTACGAGTGAGTTGCCAACCAGCTGGCTGACAGAAAACGGACGCGAACTGGCATTGGAAATTGTTTTACTACGGGGCCATTTACAAAACAATTACACTTATTTGTGCGCCATTTAACAGCTCTTCCCTCGACTGACAATCCATCAGCGGCTGCTTTTCCTCATTCAGCGTAACTCAACGGAACTCAACGGGGCCGAAAGCCTGCAGACGCTACTCGACTTCATTTCGTCCTGACAGCTCTGTGTGGAAATGAGCTCGGCAGCGAGGCTCAACACTACTAAAAAAGAGGCATGCTTAGTGTCTATTAACTTTTTCTATCGACCTCCTTTAAGCAATTTGCCCACAGATTAATTTATGAAGTAATTAAGATAACTCTTTGTTTCTTCTACTTCTCAACCTTTAGTTCATAATTTCTTTCAGTGTATCTATTTCCGTTGAGAAACGGTTTCATCAAAAGGACTGCTTAGTATGCAACTCAGCCCTGGAGAAGAGCCAGCGACAGCTGAAGAACTGCATACCTGCAATGGCAGGTAAATAAAATTAATCATACGCCCCATGGTACGCTAGCCTTCGTTTTAAAGAACTGGCAAAAATAATTTATTAGAAATTTTGTGAGAAAAATAATGAAATGAAAAACTTTTTGTTCTGAAATTAGTTTACCAAGAACCAATGACCTCTAACTAGCCACTGGCAGGTCATCAATGACATGAAAATGTAATTTAATTTTTCTTAGCTATCTTGTGCCTTGCACTTATGTTAAGCAATGATAACATTGCAGTTAAAGTCCCAAGATAAACCATAATTACTCCAATATATCAGTTCTTTATAGTTTATTAACTCATTTTGCTGAGTTTACGACAAGTTGTAGGGGTGGCTCCTTACGTCTATCTCTGATGACGTATTTATAGTTGTTGTGCCGATAAAGAGGAAGTTTTTCTAAACGAGTTTTTAATTTTGCATTTTTTGGCAAAGCATTAATCAGCAAAGGTTCTTTCTATAATAAGGCATCTATCCTATCAAGCGGAAGCCCCTTGTTTTCTAATGTAATTGCAAATGTTATGTAAAAGTAAAAAATGCATACATTTGTCAGAAGTTTAAGATCTTCAATGTAACATTGAACGCGTAAAAAAGCAAATTCTTGGAACGGAAGTACTTCGCTGATTTAAAGATACGGGAAATTGCTGAAATTTCCACTGAATTCAGTAATGTCTCAAAATTAAATTTAGATACTTATCTTAGGACTTACACTCATTCTGCTTGGAAAACAATTGAATGCCCCTTAATCAGTCGCCGAATTGTACGATTACAACGCGATAGGGATATTGACCTCTTCCTGGGTATCGGCCGATTGGTTGCCTATAGACTGTTTAAGGAAGTTGAAGTTGCTTAAGTTCTTAGGATCATTGTGAAATTATTATTTAAACTAATAGATATCTTAAGAGAAACCTTCTCTCGTTGATAACTTAAACCGAAATTGGTAATTCCCCTATTTCGTCTTGCTAAGTAGAAGTCAGTAGACGGCGACGTTATCTGCCATCAATAACATACAAAGGTTGTTCCCATAATCAGAAGTTTTCTTTGTAATATAGTGGTGGTGACCTAGAACCTTAACCTACTTTTTGGCAATTTATGTGGCAAGCCCTTAAATTTGCTGATTTTCCTATTAAAATAATAAAAAAGGGTAAAAGCATAATGGAAAATGTTGACTTTTAGAAATGTTTATCAATATTAGTAAGTTCAAAACCTGGATCATCAATCAGAATATAATTTTTTATAACTAGCTTAATTTGTATAATTTAAAAAGGTATGTAATTCGTTTTTTATATCCGCCATCATGTGATTTATATAAAGTGCTTAACTATATTCTAACTCTAATTGATTGCTTTCTTTAAGTTCCTTTAAACTTCTTATCTAATGGATCTTATATTTGTTTATGGCAATCATTTCTTATCAACACACTTCATGAAATAATATCTACCGATTAGCGATTATTAAAAAGTCATTTCCAGTTCTTAAAATAAACAAACACTAAGTAAAAACACCAGTCCATGTTATAGTATAAATTAAGGCGAAAAACGTTTAAACGTTATTAAGTTCTTGGAAAGTGGTAAAGTCTTAATTAAAAAATTAAAGAAAGTAATTTGATTTCCGTCTGCTTCAGTACTTTTCCACTTCAAAGCTAAAATTGCCGCTAATTCGACTTAGTCAGCCTCAATCAAGGTGCTTTTCGATGGCCAATATGTGGGTTATGCAAGCCAAACGGCAAGAAATTGGCACGATAACAATGATAACTGAGAATTTTTCACATTAAAAACTCATATATTATTAGATTCACATTCATTCGGTTGAAGCAACAAGCAAATGACCTCAAATTTATGGCCGATATATACGATGACTACTCAAAACTGATCTAGATTTGTGAATGTTTTTGCGGAATGTTCAAGGAAATTCAAGTATCTGAAGTCTAGTGCGTAGGGTGATTGCTAACTGATACGTCTTATCTACATTCAGATAGGAGAAAAGCCCCTTCGATCACCTATTTTGTGGGAGCTTGCATAAAAGCGGTAAACAGTAGCCAGTTAGGACCAAGTTACAAACGAACCGTTAAGCGAGCAACATGCACTCCCAACTCATCGCCATCTTGTTGGCCACCGTGGCCATCGGCTTCTGTATCGCGAATCCCACCATGATCTCTGGACCTTCGAAAATGTTCGAGATTATGAGCGCGGCCAGTGAAATCCAGCCGAGTAATGCCCAGCTAAACAAGGCTTGTTTCAATCACTTCAGTGAAGTTTACGAAAACGAATGGATTGAGTACCAAGTGCAGTTCAATTTGTGCGGGGCTACGTACAATAGCAGTCGTGAAGAAGTCCTCAAGGGGTACGATTCCTCTGTCTGGAAATTGAGTAATTCCACCTTCGAGAGCTGCATGAATATGCTGGACTGTGATTTCCAGAATAATAGTCAAGATGCTCTATCCTGCTATGTCAATGAGGTAGTTATGAGATTTTTATACCATTCAGAATTGAGAACTGATTAATAATAATATTTCTTTTTAGGGTCCGATAAGCTCCAAGAACTTGAGCAGTGTTGCATTCAACGCTTCAGTTTTCTACGGAAACCAGGCATTAGAGTTCGATCAACTGATACATACCCGCGACTTCTGCTACAACAATGCCGCCCGGGACTACGAGGTTCAATCCGAGAAATCCTATGCTGATTTCCAGAAATGCTTAGCCGGCCAGTATACTATTCCGGACCCAACTACCACCCCAAGCCCCACAACACCAACCCAATCGACCCCAATAACTTCTTCGGCTTCCACAAATCCAACTACAGATTCGACAACCGATTCGACAACCGTCTATCCATCAACAGCCTCAATTCAGGCTGTTTCCCAGAATGGGCAAGAAGAAAGCGGCAAGGAGAGCCGCAGGAGCCAGCTGGCCAGAAAACTGCAGAGTATTCTTAACCGGAGACAATAAAATTAAGCAATTTAAAAGTGAAGTGTAAAAATATATATAAAAGTTGTATAAAAAATAAAAACCAAACCTGCTTCTTTAATCAACTGACTATATAGGCTGTTTAAAGAGAAAACTCTACGTAATTGAAAGCCAAGCCGCTGGCTATTGAGGAGCATTAAGGTAGAGGGAAGGGACTGCAGTTTCATCTTAAAACCAAACAGATGGCATCAAGTGATGAAGTCAATCTGGAAACTCAAACGAGAAACTAAAACCCATTGCAACTTACTTAATTAACGGTCCGATCTAGGTGGAAAACCGAGTAGGAAACCAACCTGATGCGATGCAAATAAAACTTTTTGCATTTGCCATCAGTCCAAGTTTATCAAAGATCCGCAGGACAGGGGCGTTTGGCTAGGGAATGAGAGGGCAAACATGTAAATCAGTCTGGGAAAAACTTTGCCTCTGGGACTGGACAAACAAGGAGTGGTGAGGTAAGGAAAGGGAAATCAAGGAAAGGACATCCACTTTAAGGTAGCGGTAATAGTTAAATAAACAGTAGAAAGGCATTTTCCTAGCGGTGCTTTTTATTCAAACCTAATTGCATATGTTGATATTGTTTGTGCAGCTGCCGGCGGCCTTGTTGTGACTGCAATTAAAACAAATTAGAAGCGCTGTGCGAAAGAGGTGGGGGGGTGCAAGATTTTCACTTTGCCAAAATAAAGCCAATAACTTGGCAAGTAAGAGTATCCTAGCTGCATCCTCCTTGCATTCGTGCCTCGTGCCTATTTGTGGCATGCGAATGAGGGGACACCCAAGCACACACTCAAAGAACACGCAATTAAGATATGCAAATTAGAAGTTGTCCTTGCTCCTTGCAGCTCCTGTATATTCCTACATTCCTGATGGAATCTGCAATCCACTGAGCTTTGATAATTATGCAGAGGCATGCTATGAAGACAGTTATAAACTTGGCCAACTATCTAAAAGATTGCTATTTATTTGAGGCAACAATAATAGCTAAAGTGAGTCATTATAGTTCTTGTTTTTGTTTAGATGTAATTATCAAGCTGCTTGTAAGTGACCAACAAGTGATAAGTTGATAAAGCTGAAGTACTTTTTGTTCGATTATTAGTCATGAAAATCACACCAAAATCAATAATCAATCGCTGACCAAATATTGACGAGGAAATTAATTGATTAGCTCTGGGAAAGCCGAAAATCCATGGTGAATTATTTGTGATTTCCCCTCTTTTTCGAGACATTCAGCCCTACCATGCTTGTGAACTTATTGTCAAGTCGAAGGTCTTATCGAAATCAATCTTTTTCCAATAACAACCAACAATGATGATAGAATCGGAATACCAATACTTTTAGCCACATATTCTCCTATATTTTAAAAGGCTTTCTAACTTTTCCTGGAAGCAAACTTTAAGACTAACATATTCACTGCACGTGTGTCCTCGCAAGTAAGCCACTCCAACTAGATTAGATTTGTCCAGAAACCATCTAAGTTCCTCCTGTTAGGTTTACTGATTCTACTTGAGAATTCTGTCAAACAGAAAGCTATTTTAGCAATTTCGGTAATTACGTATTAAGACCGATTCCGAGAAGTGTTGACATTGATCAAGTGCTGATCTAACTCAATCAAAATGTTTTTGGGAGCGGGGTTAGAGGAGACCCTTGGTCTGGGCTTAACGGGTGGGTGCCGTTTGAGTGGCGGTTATAAAACCGATAAGACTGATAACTTCAGCCGGGTTTTCGAGATAGCTCGACTGATAGGCTGAAATTGAGGCAATAACATGGCAATAACATGTCGTTTTCAAATTGAAACAATGGTAGGAATATTTTTTTATGGACCACTCAAGCCCCGGCGCCTATAAATACTGCAGCTGAATGCTACGAATCAATAAGTTCGAATCGATCGCTGGAACAGTGAGAACGTGCTGGTCTACAAAAAATATTAAATACAAGTGTTAATTACCTTCCAAAATGCAATCCAAATTGTGTATTGTCCTATTGGCCATCGGCCTTAGCCAGATTTTGGCATTGCCATCACCCTCGCTGGAATTTAACAATCCGAGCAACCATTTACTTCAGCTGCTAATTCAATCCCGGGACATTAACAGTGATAGCACTCATTCAATAGAATGCATTACTTATTATAACACGGTGCTTAACGAGCTTTTCACCACATACGAATCTGATTTTAAGGTTTGTTTGGCAGAGTCTGCTGAAGAGACCGCAGCGATCGAAGACACAACCAAGCAGGAAAGAGATGAGATAAACTCCTCCGCGACGAGCTCCTGCGCTGCTCTCAGCGCTTGCAGTGAAATAGAAACCGCTGAGCAGTTCTTTAAGTGCTACAGTGAAGCCGTAAGTTAACACCTAAATTATATTCCGTTACTATAAAAAACAATCCGCAAAGTTATCATATCAATTTGAATATTAATACTTAGATAATCTTAGCGTCGTGCTATTAAAATGATATATTAATAATTTTTAAATCTAAATCGATTGCTTTTAAATCAATCGACCTATCATTGATAAGCAAATTGTGATTTAAAACTATCATGCGCTTATGTGGTGATTCATTTTGTGAAACCTGTTACCAGGTTATCATTCGAGCGAAGCAGTTGGGAAGTTTTCCTTTACCTTTGTACTATGAAAGTAAACTTAATTTCTCTGTTTTTTTTTCTATTTCAAGGGTTCAAGCGGCACTAAGACCCTGTTCACCATCTCTGCCGACGCCTCCGAACAACTGGCTCTTGTGGAAGAACAAGTGCGTCTTATTCAGGTGAAAGAATATGCGTGCACCAACAAAACTCAGAGGGAATACACCGAGAACTCTGCTGGCGTATACGTGGAGCTGCAACTTTGCATTGCTGGTGCTCCCATCCCATCGGAAACCACAAGCACACAAGCTACCTCTACAGAATCTTCGACTGATTCCTCATCTTCCGATCCCGAGTCCTCAACTGATTCGTCATCTGCAGCCACGGACTCCTCTACTGATTCATCATCTGCTGAACCAGAATCCTCGACTGATTCGTCATCTGTAGCCACGGAATCCTCTACTGATTCATCATCTGCTGAACCAGAATCCTCGACTGATTCGTCATCTGTAGCCACGGAGTCCTCTACTGATTCATCATCTGCTGAACCAGAATCCTCGACTGATTCGTCCTCTGCTGCAACGGAATCCTCTACTGATTCATCATCTGCTGAACCAGAATCCTCGACTGATTCGTCATCTGTAGCCACGGAATCCTCTACTGATTCATCATCTGCTGAACCAGAATCCTCGACTGATTCGTCCTCTTCTGCAACGGAATCCTCAACTGATTCTTCATCAGTAGACCCCGAATCCTCAACTGCTGAGTCGCAACAAGCTCCCGAGGAGGACCTAAAATCGATTTCCAGCAAGAACAGTAACGATATCCAGGAAATGCTGAAGAGCCTGCGCCAGTGGATGGTAACTCACTAAGCGGAAGTCTTCTTTATTAATTTAAATCTAAACGAAGCATGAAAAATAAATATATATTAATATATAAAGAATTTATATAAGAACTAAGATTATGACTTATTTTTCAGTTGGCTAAAATGCAATGTTTTGGGAATTGAAGATTGCATGGAAAAAGTCGCATTTAAGTTTAACCTCTTTCTGCTTTATTTCTAAGAATAAAAATCCAAAAAATAAACCCGAGGAAATGAACCGTGTGATTCATTGTATAACCCTCTAAAGATACCCTCTGTTATCAGGCACAAGTCCTCAAGTGAAACGGAAAGTACAGTGTTAACCGCTGTTTGACTAACCGAACACTGGCAAATCAATTAAAAATGGTCAGCCGATAAGCGGCCCAATATATTAGCCATTACCAATGCCAGATAACCGGGCTATTTATGGAGTGTTGGGTCAGAGAAAAACTTATTAAAAATCAATCTTGGCGCCGATTTCCAGAATATGATAACAACTTAATTAACCTTTAATCAACGTAAACTAATGATTTTCTCAATGACAATTCCGATTGCCGAAAATTTAGATAGAACAGGGCTATAAAAATATGAACCATAAACCAGTAGCATTCAGTACGAATTCGAGATCCGTTAAGTCGGTAAGTTAAGTCCGCGGAATACCAAAGAAAACATGAAGTGTGCTATTGCCTTGTGCCTGTTGTTGGCCACCAGTGGCTTTGCCCTGGTTCCCAAACATCCCGCCGATTTGGCAACCATGTTGGCCCGCCAGCAGTTCGCCGTGCGCACCTTGATGGCCGCTCCAGAGGCCCGGGATGACTCGACGTTGGTCAACGATTGCTTTAACCACTACATGGAGGACCAGACCAGTGCGATTATGGACTACAATGTTCAGTACACCGGATGTTATAGGACCTTCGAAAGTGGTCGGGAAGAGCTCACCAACGAGAGTGCCTCGGAGCGGCAAAACCTTCTGGATCGCACCAATGCCATGTGCAGCCGCCTAACCGGATGCGATATTAACATAGATGGTTTGGACTTCTTCCAATGTTACAGCACTGCCGTAAGTATTATAGCTATGTTATTACGATCATTTCATTAATAGAATTCCGGTCGATAAATGATTTTAATGATTTGAAAGGCTGTCAGGTTTACTTATACCTTTCACAAATACGTTGGCTATTTCATAAAACTTTTTCAATTCATTTTCTATAAATAACTAAAGTAAGACCTTTATCTCGTTTAGTCTTCCGACAGCTACAAGGTGATGTTTACCTTGAACAGTGATTCCAACCTGGACTATACCCGCATCAGCGCCAAGTACCAAGTGATCGAAAATGATTTATCCACCTGTGTGGATGTAGCTCGTGCAAGCTATGCCCACGACATGGATACGTGCGACGAGAACCTGACTATCTGTTTAGCCGGTTCAGTTGCTACCACTACTACTCCTGCTGCTGTGCCTACCACCACCACTACTACCACTGAACCTACCACCACCACTACTACTCCTGCTGCTGTGCCTACCACCACCACTACTACCACTGAACCCACCACCACCACTACTACTCCTGCTGCTGTGCCTACCACCACCACTACTACCACTGAACCCACCACCACCACTACTACTCCTGAGCCTACCACCACCACTACTACTCCTGAGCCTACGACTACCACTACTACTCCTGAGCCTACGACTACCACTACTACTCCTGAGCCTACCACCACCACTACTACTCCTGAGCCTACCACCACCACTACTACTCCTGAGCCTACCACCACCACTACTACTCCTGAGCCTACTACCACCACTACTACTCCTGAACCCACCACCACCACTACTACTCCTGAACCCACCACCACCACTACTACTCCTGATCCCACCACCACCACTACTACTCCTGAACCCACCACCACCACTTCCGAGCGTCCACCTGAGGAGGATATTGGCAGATCTGCCTTCCTGGCTCAGAAGGGAGCCTGGGGCCTGTTCAAGCGCTTCTTCTAAGCGAGAAGGAATTTTAAAGTATTTATTGTATTCCCTGGGAAATTTTGAGTAACGTAAAAGTCCCAATAAAAGCGTATAAAGCGTAGAATACTTTTGGGTTCGATTGCAAATTGATTTCTTAGAAAGGTGAAAGCAGTGACGTGCTTAGAACTTATTCTAAAGGGTTTTTCTCAAATATCTAATACCATTAAATAATCAGTGCCTTAAATTGGTAATTCAATTTTTGGAGACTTAAACAGAATATATATATATTTTTTAGGGATGTAAAAAAATAAAGAGGTTATCCTCTCAAACTTAACCCAAATACGTCACTGGAAATACTTATCGCTGACAGCTTGTGGAGTAATGACCATTATCTTCCTTATCCCAGCTAGACAAGCGCCACACCATCGGCTACTGGTTGCTTGTAGTGTTCGCACTGAAGACATCGAATCTGAGGGCTACGAACCACCGGACGAAGCGTGCAATCTATGTGCACAACGCTAGATAAGTAGAGCACCTGAACTTGTCGTAAATAGCTGGCCTTCGGGCTGGTCAATAAAACCGAATGGGGTAGAAACGAGTTATTAGGAAATGATCAATTAGCCGCTCGGCACTTGAGGCGCCGTCGCTTGTTTCTTTAGCGGCATTCAAGATCAACGGCCAAATGGAAGCACAACACCGATTCGGGAGACCGGAGACCAACTGTCGCCTTTACTCGGTACTAACCATATTTTTGATTACATTTTGTTTGGGTTATTCGGAGACTGTGACTAGTAAGGGATTCGATTGGATGACCCCGGAACCCGATCAAACCCTTGATGAGTGCCATGACGAGTTTACAATTGCCTGTGCCAATGCCTCAGCAGTCTTCGCCGAATCCTATGATCATTGCGAACTTAATGCCAATGAGACTATCGTCAATCTGGAGGTGGACGTGGAACTGGAGAGACTCCAGATCGAGTTGGGCTCCAGCGAAGTGTGCGGAAATTTGCAACTTTGTGACACTTTAGTGGACGATCTGGAGTACTTCAAGTGCATTAATGAGAAGGTGAGTTTTGCTTAAATTCTAGACTAAAACTTCCAGAACGTAGTCTATGGTCTCTGTATAAAGTTTCCCTTTATCTAATTGCTAATATTTTCTTTTAAGGGAACCCGCAATCTGGACATTTTGACAGAAATAACTTACAATTCCACAAGTGCCTATACACGTCTGCATGAGGATTATGATGAAGTGCACCGGACTTTTCTGCTCTGCAGTCTGAATGCCCAGACAAAGTATATGGAGGACATAAGGCAGGCCCACAGGGAGCTCACTCAGTGTCGATCGGAAATTGATGAGCTTAGCGTGTAAATATTGCTTATCTTTTACTATATAAACAAGATGATTAAGGGTGAATAAACACCAAAGGCAACTAACTCATGATAATTTACTACCAAATGATATGAATTTCGTATAAGAATACTATTGTTAAGATTAGATAACTTAAGGAAGGAAAAGATTCCTTTAATAAATATTTAAATCAAAGAGTTCTGCCTATGGCAATATAAAAGTTTTATATTTTTTTATATTTTACAGTTTATCAGTTTGTATCATTTTGTTGCAGACATTTATCCAACAGACGAAAGATCTTATCAATTCCTTGGACATAATTATGTTCGGTCTTATTGGTGCACAGATAGTGCTCCATTTCGATGCTACCCAATTTTGTATTCAGGATTAAAGCCTGTTCGGAGGCATTAAAGGAAATACTATACACGTTGGCCAATTGCAGTTTAGACTATGAAAAGAAGATTGGATTACTAGGGCTATCAAATGAAAGGCACCAACTTACCATTTTGGCAAAGCAATTGAAAAATTCCAAGGGCTCTGCTAGGGTTAAACACTGGTCAATGAAGGAACTTATGTTCAGGGCAGCTTCTCGAATCTCTTCCTGTTCCCCAGAGGCATCTGATAGCAGGGTCTGTTTCTCATCGATGGCACACTTTTGGCAACTACTGTATCCCTGCGACCAGGTAGCTCCTTCACTTTCTAACTCTGGTAAATAGTGAGCGAAACATTTTTTGGTATTTCCCAAATTGGAAGTAGTTTCCTTTCCTTCATCCAGATAAGTACACAAGCTGTTCAAAGCTCTTGGTGGCTCACCATAGGCCTACAAAATGCCTTCTAAAATCACATAAATAATTATTTATATTTTATATTTACTCCAAGGACGAAAAGCAGCGTGATAATAACAGTTTTCATTTCGGTGTTGACCATAAACGACTGACAAAAATCTAACCAAAATTTCCGCGAACCAAAGTAACCGAATGTTTGTCTTGTAATCTGACTTTGATGAATGGTTTGTTTATAGGCTTTATAATCGCAGCGGTACGTCTGCAAATAACGATCAAGTGGCTCTCAAACTTTCTGAACTTGAATTCCTGCTAAAAGTGTTGCATACTTTTTAGTTCAAGGAAAAACTTTCTAGCAAAAGTTGGCCACGATAATTAATTACGTCATAACTGTGGCTGTGAACGTAATGAAAATATGATATTATTGGAGTGATTCTATATTCCAATAGAAATTTATTGCTCACAGAAAACTTTGAGAAAACCATTTGATTTTGGGAGAGGGTTGTGAAGATTTTTGAAAACCAAACTGGTTGATATGGATGTTCCAGATTCTAAGCATGAATGCAAGTTAAAAACAGATATTGAAAAATACTTGGGAAATGATTTATAACTTCAAAGCCTCTTGCTAACACTGATACCCTCACATGAAGTATTCCAAATAAGTTTTTTAAAAAGTGTATTTATAAGGTCAATATTGTTAAAAGTTGTGATATCAAAGGTGTTTCTTTTTCATTTTTGTACGTTAAATTTTCTCATAGATATATAGATTCATTAGCCAATCGTTACAGCAATCGATTCCTAGCGAATCGTAAGCCTTTAAGCTTTTGAACTCGCCCTTAACGAGTTCAAAGAACCGCTAGGAAGGCCAAACGGTGGTTCCTGGCCATCTAATCTTGCTATCAGTTTTTGGCCCTGAATACACGTGCTTGGCATCAAATGGGAATGCACATGCAAAGCAATTTGTGGGTCTGGGCATTACGCATACGCATTAATGCTACCTAATTGATCGACGCTCGGTAGTATGAAAATTATTCACAAAAATATCATTTCGGCCAAACGGATCAATCATTCGCCCCGCCGGCCAAGTATATAAAGCATTTGGCCCTGCTCTTTGGTAGCGACAGTAAAGATCGAACCGCCAACGAAACGACCGCAAACATGAAGTTTTTGTGCAGTGTGCTAATCCTCGCCAGCGTTTTGGCCGCCAACGTAATGTTTTCCTGATATCGATATAGTTTCCGGTGGTGAAGAGTTTTTGGTTTTCGTTCTTTAGGCCAAGCCCAACGTGCAGCTGCAGGTACAAAGTGCTTTGGATCAGTATCTGGTGCATGCCCGTAACTTGGATGTTGCCAGCGCTTCTGCGGATGTTACAACCCAGTGCTTCAACCTCTACTTGCCCATGTTGAACGAAGTGGCAGCCACCTTCTCGTCTTCTTACCAGGCTTGCATCACCACCGCTAATGCCGAGACCGCCAATCTTACTGCCGAGGCTGATAAGCAGCAGAAGATCTACCAGACGGATGTCACCAACCTCTGCAGCGCCTTCACCACCTGCAACAGTGATAACGACACCACCAGCTTCTTCAACTGCTACGCTAATGCGGTAAGTTAACTTAAGATCGTCCAGTAAGGGAACGGGACTTATGTACTTTAATATTAAAGGCCGAGAGTGATGTCTCCGTGATCTACGACATCGCCACCAATGCTGCCAGTTCTGCCAGCTCCTTGAGCATGGGCATCAAGGCTATCCAGGACACCGAGTACCAGTGCACCAATACCTCGGAGAGCAACTACGTCCGCGATACCGCCGCCACCTACGATCTGTTGGATAGCTGCCTGAAGTACGGAGTTCCAACCACATCCGCCGCCCCCTCCACAACTAGCCCCGTTGCTAGCACGAGCGGGGCTATTGTCACTGATAGCAGCACTGTTATTGCATCGTCCACAGCGGCTCCTGTGACGACTGCTGCTCCGGGAACTACTCCTGCTGTGACCACTCCAGCTCCCGGAACTACTCCTGTTACGGAAACCTCTGCCGCTCCTGGCACTCCGGCATCTTCTTAAGCCACAAATATGAGCAATTGCAAGCAATAAATGAGCATTTCAAAAACATTAATTATGAGAAGTTCTTAACATTTCTGAGGAAAAGTTGAGCGGGATATTTTTTCCTGAACATAAACATTATTTTTCCTTTTATTTTGATGCTTACTTATAAGATATAAATAATTATTATGTCAGGAGCTGACAGGTAATTCTTGATAAAACCATGGGACAAAAATAATCCATTCGATTAGATAAAATGCGCTAAATTATAAATAAATATCATGAGAATTGATTTCGCATAAACCCAGAAATACTTAATTTGGTTGAGACTAAAAAGCTTAGCATACTTTTAGCCGAAAATGAAAATTAAAAGTAAATCTAAATGCAAAGTTTTTACCTAAGACATTAGGCTTTGTTACGCTCTATTTACAACCATAGGTTCCTATTAAGCCTCTGTATTACCTCTGATAAGTTTGAAGAACCGAGTATTCGGCATATCAGTAGCTATTGCCTATCTAACATTGTTATCCACATTTGATCCTGACTCATCGAATGGAATGGTCTGGTCATACGTTTTAATGCTACCTAATTGATCGCCATTCAGCAGTACGAAAAAAATCACACAAGTTTCAAGTTGGCCAAACGGATCCATCATTCACCTTGGCAGCCCTGCGTTTATAAAATACTTAGACCTGGTCTTTGCTAGCCACAGTAGAGGTACAACTTTCGACATGAAGCTTCTTTGCAGTGTGCTAATCCTGGCCAGCATTATTGCCGCCAACGTAAGGATATTCTGATATACACCTTGATTTCAGTACTTCAGTGTTAACTTCCGTTTTCCTCTACAGGCCAAGCCCAATAATCAGATCCAAAACGCTTTGGATCAGTATCTGGTTCATGCCCGCACTCTGGATACCATTGTTTCTGAGGATGTGACCACCCAGTGCTTTAACCTCTATATGCCCATGCTTAACGACTTGGCTGCCACATTTTCAAGTTCCTATCAAGAATGTATTAGCATTGCCAATGCCCAGACCACAAATTTGACCACCCAGGCCGATCAGCAGCAGAAGACCTACCAGTCTGAGGTCTCCACTCTCTGCAGTGCCTTCGCCGCCTGTGATAGCAACAATGATACCACCAACTTCTTTAACTGCTATGCAAGTGCGGTGGGTGAACTAAATTTAATTAGGAAATTAAAATATATTTACTCATATTCATTATATTAACCCACAGGCCGAGAATGATATCTCCGTGATATACAACCTTTCCAGCAATGCTGCCAGTTCTGCCAGTTCTTTGGCTCTGGGAATCCAATCCATCCAGACCCAGGAGTATCTCTGCACCAATACAACGCAGAACAACTACGTCAGGGATACAGCTGCCACTTATGATTTGCTGGATAGCTGCCTGAAGTACGGAGTGCCAACTAGTACCTCTACAGCTGCCCCGACAGCCACCACTACAGATGTGCCTTTCTATTTTGATCTTTAATTATAAACCTGAACTTTGTTCAACTTTTTCTGAGAACTTTAATTCCAGCAACAAATCAGAGAGCCAATTAAGACAAAAATAAACATTTTAAAGGTTCAGAAAAGTCTATTAACTTAACATAGTTTTGGTTTACTGAATCCACAAAATCAATGGTGAAGCAATATAAGAATTTCCCAAATGTTTTTCTATTTTTGTTCAAAGCAAACTCCACAAAGTACACATGTTCCTATAATTATAAACACGAGTTGTACAATTATGTGTAATATTCGGTTATTTCTAGCGCCATCGAGTAACTTGGCTAGACATTTGGAAGGCAGATAGATAGATGAGTGTATATGCACCCGGACAGCATCAGCGGAAAGTTTTTCGGCGTCTCTCAGAAAATAGTCTCTCAAGAAAACAAACGCCACGGGCCGAACTTACACCTTTCGATGGGCGAGCGGGGCATAAATATTCAATCCGGGTGGCCTTATCGGCGATACATTCAATTATCTCTCCGGGTTTTGCGGCTGTTAACGCTTTAAATTGTGCCCACACACACTGGGTTGTGCTCAGTCGAATTTTGTACTCGGACCATTAAACATTCAACATGGAAGGCCATCGCGTGGTAGTCGTCGCATTTGCTGTTGTCCTCGCCGGATTGTGCGTGCTGTCCGGTCTGAACGTAATGAAAATGAAAATGAAAATGAGACTTCTCGGGATGGTCACAATCGAGTAACCGTAACCCTCTATCCTCTCTCTCTCTCTGCTTTTTTCCTAGGCGGCACCCGTGGAATGCAATAATGGCAGTGGAATCCAGGTCTCTGAGGATGGCTATCAGAGTCAGTCGCAAACCGGTCCCGGTTGTCAGACACAGACCTCGGACGATGGTTTCCAGACCCAGAGCCAGAGTCAGACAGGCAATGGCTACCAGTCGCAGACGCAGTGCAGCGGTTCCTCCTGCGGTCAGTTTACCCCCTTCCCGCCCCTGTTCAGCATGAGGCCATTGGAGCCCCTCAACTTTGAGCCATTTGGAAGATTGGGAAACAACCAGGCCCAGGAGCAGGTGTACTACAGTTAAGTTCCCAAATGGTTTCTCTTATGAAGACTCCGAAAAACAAACTAAAAATGTTTCATTTATTAACAATTTTCTATAATTTCATATAAGGGTTATTATTACTTTTATATTTATAATTTGTGTACTTAAAAAATCATTTAAAATCTAATAAAAATCGTTAAAAAGGTAACAAAATTGTTATTTTTAGTAAAGTTTTTAAATATTTTTATACTTTTAACATAACTAACAAAAAGCAAGGTAAATATTCACAAAAAGCAATATAAACGAAATTTCTCTGCCCTCTAATTTTACGATTTTTTTATTACACGCATCACTTAATTTCTCCTAGCCTATAAAAACTAGCTTGAATAATGCCCAATATTAATATATTTATTCATAACAATAAAAAAATTCCCATTTATTTTTGGAACAAACAAAAAATGAAAGCTATCAAATTCAAGATTCAAGATGCTTTGTCTGGCGTTTGTCTAGCTTGACTTGATCTCACATCTTAATCATGACTCAGTCATCATCTTGTTTTGCTATAGTCAGACTTATTTACATTTTTAGTCATGTGGGGCAGATTAGCGGGGTTTTGTTCAAACACTGAGAGCGATTAGTTCACTGATTAGTTTGATGATCGGGCATGAAGTAATCTAACAATAAAGTTTCGTGATTTGAGCAGTTCAAAGATTATCTTTTGTAATCGAAAAATGAGTTAGTTTACACTTGTTAGCAAAATATTTATTTAATCAAAACAAAGGGCAAGGTTTATATAAGGTTTAATATTATTTATTAAAAATTTTGTTTTTATCTAGATAATTTATAAAAAATATTTTCCAGATTCTTATTTACTTAACATCCTCTAAATGTAAGTTTTTCATTTCCAAAGCTTATCCTCCTGAAATATTATTATCCAAAAACGTTATCTACGATTTTTGACATCTCCCAGACCCCCCCTCGCTATGCAAAACTTTTGCTTATCACTTAAATCCCTTGGATTGCAGCGCCAGAAAAGCAAAAATAATGATGAATGTTCGCAAAAGTCTCGTCTGTGGTTAATGCAATTTTTTGTTTTCCTGTCACTTTTGCCGCTGTCGCTGCTGCAGATAAAACTTTTATAATGCGACCGAACTTTCGGTTGCGATGTGCGATGCGATGCGCGGTGTGCCATCACTTTTGGCAGGCACTGTGGCACCTTCAACCAACGGCCTTCGGCGACGTGTGCAAGTAATTGTGGCAAGAAAGAACAAAAAAAAAAAAAAAAAAGCGCCACAATAATCAGCGGCACGCGGAGGCATGGAGGATATCGTCAAGCGCGCTGACGTTGCCGCCAGCTGGCTTTTAACTCATTTTCTGATTAAAATCTGGGCCATTAAGCGTGCCAGCTCGAATCGGACTAAACTTTTTTAATGGCCCTGACAATAGTTGCCAACGTTAGTGGCAAGTTCCTTTCTGATCCTGCAGTGCGGCCGCAAAAGGACGCGCGAAAATTGGCGCCTGCAACGAACGATGTTGGTCACGACAGGGTGCAGAATTCGGTGTAAAATTAAATTAAAACTGCCAAGGGAGAACGAGTTGTGGGAATTGGAGGGGCACTTCAAGAAATTACTAGCTCTTTTTTGTTTTTGTAAGTTTATTATTTATTTCACCATATCTTAGGAGTTCATATCAGTAGGATTTTGGAATATTAGATTAGTTTTTGAACATACCAAAACTACCTGGGTGGTAACATGCTCTGATAAGGCTATAAATATGATGGTATTACCTACATTGGCAAGGAATTTTAAGCTTATATTAATGAATATTTTAAGCCTATGAATTATACTGAATTTATGAGCTGTGATAATGTCACCTCATAGGCATGACCTGGGCTAAGTTTGAAAATGGCTCCTGGAAAAATATTTATAAAATAAAAGTTAAACTTCCAGAAAACTTCGACTGATAGAACTTCGTTTTAGGGTAATTATTTAAAAATTTTTCCCTCTGTACGACTAAAAAGCGCGTCGAAAGCTGTGAAAATATTTGCGAGCCTTCAAGACGAAGTCCAGGCCCAGATGGGCGATAGTTGGTTAAATCAGAGGGAGAAGGATGAGAGGAATCCAGAATCTAAAGGAGAACTCTCAGCGCCAGCTGTCAGCGGCTGCCAGAGCAACGATGTCAATTAGTTTTTGAAGCGATGCTGACCTCCTTGGACCCAGTAGTACCTTCATCCTCCAACTTGCCCGTCCTTGTCCTTTGGCCAAGTCAAGTTGGCTTTAAGTTAATTGCACAAGATTTCACTTTGCTCTGGCCACGCTGCTTCTGCTCCTCCTCCACCTCCTTCTGCTGTTACTTCCGTTTCCGCCACCGCCTTTCGCTCTTCTCGCCATTTTTTAATCAAGTTAAAAGTTATTTTTAAATGGAGTGCGAGCGAAATATGCAAGCGCAATGCAAATAACACAAAGAGCCGCCACCGCCGCCCATCTGTGGCTACATCAATTGCAATTCTGCAGAAAGAAATATTTATGTACTGATTATTTCATGTGGCATGCGAGGCCAAATTGGTTTTGCCATTCGACTGCCCCCGTCTCGTTAATGTATGCAGGTTTTTAACTGTTTTCGTCACATTTAATTTGTGAGAAATTCATATGCCAAAATGCACATTTTTTATGCCTGGCAATCGAGGGAATTTATCTACCAATTCAATTTGTGATATGCAGTTCGGCTTGACAGTGATGTCTTGAGGTAAGAATAAGGTAAAATGATTTATGAATGCATTTACTATTTTGATATTGAAAAATTAGTAAAGATATTTAAGATATTTCCATTTTATGGGTATTTGTGTTGAATAATATATAATTCTTCAGTTTAATATTTACCACAATAAAAGAGTATTCCTCTTTCGACTTTATATCTATCACTCTCGCTTAAACAATATTTATGTCCCAGCTATCTTTCTTTCCTAGGCTACTGTATTTCATTTGTCATTTGTTTGGCCTCTTTTTGTTATTTTTTATAAATTATCTTTGGCAGCGCCACACACAAAAATAAACACACACCACCATCCACACACTCATCCATCGAAAGCTCTACAAAGCTGAAGCTATTTCGGGGTACTTTACACCTGCAAAGAGCCTTTGATTGATGATACAGGTAATTGATAAGGCGCCTCAGATACCTCTGCATGCTTTTTTCTCTTGGTTCGCCTACCCCACAGCTAATTGGCTGCTAAGTAGGTGATGTTTAAAAATATTTTAGCGAAGCATTCTCCCACACCCACACCTTTCCTCATTTCGGAGCGGGTCTTTGGCTAATTATGCACTCAAAGCTTAGTCAACGAGCTCGTTCCGAGATGGTTTGAGCTAATTAGGGCGTCCAACGTTAATTGCAATTTGCACTGGCGAAGGGGTAGGGAGCGGGAAGGGGGGAGAATTTTCAAAGGGGGTGGCGGAGGGTGTTTTGGGGGAAAACCCCGTTTGCCGGTTACGAGATGTCGCTCAAGTTCTTCAGCTGTTGCTGTCGTTTTGCCGGCGTTGTCACGTTTTTGGTGGCTGCGATTCTGTATGACTTCATTTCTGGATGCCACAGATGTTGCACTCGGCATGCGATTTGCACTTACGTGTGAATGAGATGGAAGAAGCGGACAGAAAGAGATGGAAGCCAAGCACTGAGGGAAAGGGAAATCTAAAGGTAAAGGTTTTTAATGAAATTGGAATTTGTTGAAGGGAAAAGTTCAGATATAACTCATTTTTTTACTCTTTTTGCTATAATTTAAAGTATTTTATAAATACATAAATTATGTAAGAATATGTCTATATTTTCTCTCTGTGCCGAAATAAAAAGTGATTGCTTTCGATGTAACCGAATCTTGTCTGCCTTTTCTGTCTGAGGCAGAGCCGAAAATTTTCTAATTTTCTACTGCAGTGATTTCGCATGCATAGAGAGTTGCATGTCCTCTCTCCTCTTGGGTTTCTCTACTCTTAACCCCAGCCCGCTTCATACGCTTTCCCACTGTTTTCCGGCCCTTCCCTGGGGCGAGTTCCACTGATTTATGCGCATCAATAAGTTCTCTGAGTGCGATACTTATGCGAAATGTGCCGCAATGAGACGTGGACTCGCCCATGGCACGTTCGCCTGCAGTTGCTGTCCACCATACGGCTGCCTCCCCTCCTCCATTTCTGGGAGTTTCCTAGTTTTCTACCTCCTGCTGATACGGTTCCAGCTGCTAAAATAATGATTTGCATTTCGATTTGGGGCTCGATTTCGATTCCGATTTTACCGAGATATATGGTTGGGGAAAACGAGAAGAATGGCCTAGCTTACTGGAGAAGGCTCTAATGAGAGTACTGTGCACGGGGAGAAAAATTAGATATACCATGAAAATCATTAAAAGTTTTCTTTACACAATGAAATTGTTAGAAATATTCAAAAACTACTTAGCCAATCTTATACCAAGATTCCCTTTTAATTTAATAAGATTTTTATTACAACCTCTAAGTGCTTACGTGATAATTTTGCAGATAATTTCCTTAAGATTTATGAGTATATTGAACCATATTTGGTATTGAAATGAGAAATCAGGGCGCTCCTTTAATCAGCGTGTAGCATAGCCTTCTCCTAAACGGCTTATCGCTTTCTGAGGGGGAGGGCGAAAGCCAACTGCCCAGCCAAATAATTCATTTTCGCCTCTTTGTTTGTTGGCCACGTTTACGGCCCTCGCTTATCTTAATGGGTCAAAGGTTATGACCAGCCTTGAGATGAGACAGTCCGAACTTCCGCCGACTGGCCTGGAAAACCACGAAACCCCCACCGCTGACCACCAACAGAAACCATCCTTTGCATTCGAAACGTCGGCTCACCACAGTGGGTCCAAAGACTTTTGGCCAGAGATTAGGCGTGCTTATAGGCAGATTTATGGATCGTCAGCGGGAAAACCTTTTAGCCCCCCTCCCAAAAACCATTTTGGTAATAAACACACGATACAACGACGACTACATAGCAGAGCCAGCAATTTGGAGTTCCATAAGCGGCATTTAATTAATTCGAAAATTACGTTATTTTCGACTCCGACTCTCTTGACTCGAGCACTCAGAGTCTCGAGTCTGGAGTCTGGAGTCTGTAGTCCGTAGACCTAGGTCCGGACCT